TGGACAACAATTACACGTACCCCAGGCAATAGCCTCTGGAGGCTACTATTAATTAATGCAAAAGTATTCAAGAGAAACAATAAGATTATAACTTCATTTACACACTCCCAGAGAGTAGCCCCAGTAAGGTGTGTATTTTTACAGCAACTACACGTAACCCCAGGGAGTAGCCCTGGCAGGATACATGCAGAAGCATTATTGGGACGTGTATGATCATGTAAAATAATAATAATAAAAAAAAATGTAACGTTCTTGAAACTTTAAATATAGGAGTTATGAAATTAGCACTTATGAATGAGAAAAAAAAGTAAAATAAAAAATAACTTGCGTTTTTTTCTGGGCGTAGTGAGAATATCAGGATATTCTCAGTCCATCCCACTTCTGAAACTATTTGATTAGTTTCCAGAAGTTAAACCACAATGTTAATTTTCCACTTGCTTTATTCAACTTGTACTTCACTGTAATATAAACTAAAATTATTATAACAAGAATATTTAGCAGCAACACCACGTTACATTTTGGACCACTATTCACGACGAAGGCTCTCGACTGAATACCGTATTTATGACCGCTCCACTCGCTAGTCCGTCCCCCCTTCACGTCACGTGATAAGATGGTAGGGAGGTAAGGTGATGTGGCGTGATTTAGCATAGACAAACTAAGATAAAAACAATAACTGTACTATTGACCGATCTGTAAAAAATGCTAACATTATAAAAATGCTAACAGTATCCTGTATCTGTTTATAGTGCGATCCAAAGTTCATGGCGGTTCTGAAGTTAGCAGCGAGCGCAACTTTGCGCAGTTATCAGTTTTAATGACATCCCGCGCGCGCCTACATCACGGCTACATCGTCCTACATTTCGTTTACTGCGCAGCGACTCGTGCTAACTTTATAACCTCCATTAGGTTTGGATCGCACTCAATAACACATTACTAATTTTTATTTAGACAGCATTCTGCACAAGACAAGAGTGAATTAACAGTACGCTCTATGGTGTTTTGTTTCTATAGATGAAAAAAATTATAGAGTCCGAGTAGGGGATTTGGTTTAGGCCAGCAAGGCTGTGGATTGTTGAAGCAGCACATTTTTGTATCACAGCTATCTTCTCAAATGGCCTATTACTTTACATTTAAGGCCTCATTATGTACGCGGTTACTCAAGATTCAGAATGCCATATCAAAACTGACTATAAATGATACAAAATATGTTTATATTACACATGCTGAATCTGATTATCGCGTGCAACATTCATCATAGTATAACACGACCTTTAACATTACGTGGGTTTCGGTAACTCGCTTAGCCTTGTTTACAAATTATAGGTAAAGTTGAAAACGACCGCTAGCTTTTGTTATTTCATGTCATCGATGCATGGCGGACCCAAAATAATAGTTATATTCTACTGAAGACGACGGGAAACAAACCAGCCACCAGTGTCGTACCACGCAAGATAGGCTTTGTGTGGTTCAACACTACTATAAATAGGTTTCAGGTAAAATCTGATTTTAATGTAAAATGTAAATCATAGAACATAATATTATAAAACATTAAGGTGCGTTTAAATTACGCTATACTATCTAGCTTTATAGCTCATAGCACGGATCACGATATTGCGCCCCATACATTTTCATAGAACACTCACACCACGTTATTGTATGGGCTTGGTATGAGAGCTATCTTATTTATAGCGAACGTCTTGTTTAGATTGTCTATTTATACATATAATGTCGGATAAAGTTTTACGTCCGTCTTTAATGTTTCCAAACCTTGCAGGGTAGTATAAGTTAATTATATAGCATTATGTTTTTCATTACTTTTTTCCCATTGCATTTATTTATATAGATAGGTAGACTATATTTAGCAAAGTATCGCCACCTGAGCTGATCGAAGAGCTCGATCATCAAATTACAAAGTTCGTTGTTAACGCCGCGCCGATCACTTGGTGCCATGATTGGTGCACATGTGGACCGATTCTTCAACAATGTATACAATACTTAGATTATATTGGGTATCTACAGTTAGTTAATATTTGCGACATAATATTAATAAATGTAAACATATTTTCTCATGCCGAGCCCTGTAATTATTAATTAAATTACATATTTTGACTGTCTCAACAGAATATTAAAAAGGTCTAATTAGGAAAGCTGTGATTTTAGTTAAACTGTCATTTATTATTTAGTTTGACGTTGATATCAAGTAATTAATTAACTAATAAAGAGAAAATATATTTCTTGAATTACTCATGCCGACTAAATTCGTTCTAGCACCTTACCTATGAAACTGCCGCATTATATTATCAATAAATGCTTCTGGGACTTTTAAAATTTAGAAATAAAATGAATTGACCTATGAAGTACACGTATCCATTTAAATAACAAACTGGCTCCCATCCAACTATAAAACGGAAAACGGAATTATACAAGAAATCAAAAGCATTTTCTATTCTAGGTATACATACCGCTATCGTAAACTTTCTTATTATCCGCTGAGAACGTACATGAGTCATATGATGTCAATACAGGCTTTGAGCCGTCGGGAAAACCATTTCCCCTAAAATCAATACGCCCATACGAGCGGCCCACCTGCCTTCCGCAGGTAATTGTGGCGAGTCTGTGTACTTACCCCCCGTTTACACCAAGAAACAACTTTACACAAAACTTGTGAAAAACTTTATTTCTGCTTTTTGTCTGTTTACAAACATTATGTTGTCTAACCTGTATAGATAACAAGTACTTAAACGAGGTATGCTTAGAACAAGTATTTAAGTCTTATTTACTTCTCATTATGTTGTTTATCCAAAAAGTTCCATACATTTTCCTCTAACAATAGGACCCGAAAAAATTCGAAAACCTTTAAAAATGAACGTAGGCCGGCAACGCATTTCTGGTATTTCTGGTGCTGCACGTGTCTGTGGGTGACGGCAGTGATAACTTACCATCAGGTGAGCCGTCTGTTCATATGCCTCATATATTATTAAAAAAAAGGTTTGTATAAGTACTACAAGTAGGGTTGCCAAGCCTACTATATAATATAGTATTAGTATCCTACTATATTAGGGAATCAAATACCATATTTCTAAAAAAAAGATATAGTATGCGAAACTACTATATTTTGCTTAAAGCAGACTTTTGCTAGTAAAAGCTTTGCACCAAGCCTTGGTGTAAATGAGGATTTAACTGAGGAGGGTAACTCGCAGTGTTAGTCGTCACCTCACCTCCTTACCGCCACCGCGCCACCGCCACTGCTCCAACAATGACAAGTCCTGCTGTGATTTACTCAGCCCTTGTTTAATTGGAATACTTATAAAGACATAGACTAGATAAGACTTATAACAACTACATTGTTTGTAGTAAGCAATATAGTACCGTTTGAAAAAACCAAATTATTCATATTGTTTTGTGTTCATTTAAAGTATCAAGATTCTTCGTCCTACATTTTACGTTTAAGAGTCACAGTAAAAGTCTATAAAGAACTAGAGTATTTTTTATTTAGAAAGTTAGTATCTGTCATAACACTGGGTAGTCTTAGTTCTTATTTTGTATTATGAAAAATATTTATAACAAAGACAGTTTCATTAATTTTTTTTCAAGTAATGCTGGCATCTTGCTGACATTTGATTTTTTCAGTTTTTTTAGACAAATTTCGTTGTAAACTATAACCATAGTATATTATGTAAAAAGAACGGATGTATATTTTCTTCTTCCTCTGGCAAACATCGTAAGTAGGTATGTATAGCATTAACGCTAGGGGAAACTTAATTACTTAGCTCAGTTAATTAAATCACTAATATAACACGTTTGCGCCACACCACACGCTCTAACCTAGTTAATTCCAAGCCTCGAATCCACAATTATTACACCTTTCCGGCGCTTTACCTTCACAAAGGTCAAAAAGATAGTCGATCCGAACTCTCATCACTATTGAATTAGAATTCACATGACAACTTTGTGTCAATGCCATGTCCCCTATGTTTATATAGTCTCAGGAAAAATAAAAGTCAACTGTTTTGAATTGTTTTTCACTTTGGCGCCCAACGTGGGGCTTTTGGTGGATTGTAACTTTAATCACACTAATTTCATAAAGGCGAAAGTTTGAGAGTGTGTGACTGTGTATGTTTATTACTTCTTTACGTCTAAACGGCTGGAACGATTTTAATAAAATTTTGTATGGAGTTAGCTGTCACCCTGGATTAACACATAGGCTACGTTATACTGCGGGAAAATATCCCTAATAAACCACGGGTAACACCTAGTAAAGGATAATGTTAACATTAAGCAACACTATTTTATAACAAGCCTCAAGTCTATCTTTTTTACATTACGTCCTTAGTGAGGCTTTCCCAGGGGTCCGGGAAAGGTTGTAACGGCAATGTCAAGTTTTATTGCATCTTGCGACGACATAAAGCCGTCTTTAGCGTCCATGAAATGCGTCACTATATATTTACTGAAACGCAATACCTACCTCTGTAAAGCAATATTTTCAATGCTGTTTATTTTAACTATGAAATTATGTCCTTACTCTTTATCATGTATGTGTTTATTATAGCACATTAGTGCTATCAAATCAAATTAGACTAAGTAGCTTCTACTGGAATGCATTGTTGTCAAATTTAAGTTTAGGTTTAGAGAATCATACCAGAATCGACACCACTATTTCATTAACTGTAATCTCCCTATTTCATCTACTGGGAAGGTTTTTGCCCCAGCAGTGGGGCCACTAATTGGCTGATGATGATTAACATCATCATTTAGTGTTGTTTTGTGTTCATTTATAGTAGCGAGATTCTTCGTTCAAGATTTATAGTATATTGTGACAAGTTTAACGTAAACAGTAAGGTGGATGTTACTTCTCCAAACAGGCGTTGCATGCTATACCCTACTTGTCTTATCTAGGAAAACACCCATGCCAGACAGTATGACTTAAATATAAGTACTTATATTAAAATTCAATTCTGTCTGTCACCGTCCTACTTTATACTTATCTTAATTTTCAGATATGAGAACGAGAAGAACGCTTTGGTGGTGTCAGTGGTCTCCTGCCAGGGGCTGCCGGGCCGCGAGCCCGCCGGCCCCGACCCCTATGTGAAGCTGCAACTGTTGCCTGACAAGCAGCACAAGGTCAAGACTAGGTCAGTACCAACAGAACAGCGCTACACACTACTCCCACACATACGCTACAAGTATACATTATTAGAAGCTGCCAGGGCTGCCGGGACACATTAGGGTCTGCCTCTCAAGCAGCACAAGGACAATACTAGGTCAGTACCGATTATCGATAGAACAACACTACACACTACCCCCACACATTCTTTACCTACTACTACACTTTCTACAGCGGGGGCACAGGCTTTCCCTATGTATGATGAGGATGATGATGAGGAAGTAATAGGAAGATTACCTGCTACTAGGCTTCACAAAATCAATAATTCATTTAAAGGTCTTTGTGTTCGCATAGACAATAAAGTCCCAAGCAATATCCAAGAGTTAACCGTAAATAAATTCAAAGATAGTATAAAAAAGCACTTATTAAAAAAGCTTATTACTGTGTAATAAGTGTCTGATTATATTACAGACAAAAATGCTTGGGTTTGAACTGATCCAATCATTCCAACAGGTTTTCTATATTAAACAAATCATAATTGTATTGATGTTGTAACAACATAATGATTTGTAAATGTTGTGACATTATACTTTTAATGTTGTGGAGTATTTTTCGCTCGTTTTTCTCCACAGCTAAAAAATATGTCCAATAACGAGTGGTAGGGAAAAAAATGATTGGACGATTCAAAAGTGTTGTACTATACATCCAATTTGAATAAAGATATATTGATTTCATGATTTCTTGATTTCTTGAGATTAGGCAACGCCCGTCCAGTTTGGTGGGTGCTAACGACTGCAGATGCAGCCAGGACCAATGACTTAACATGCCTTCCGAAGCAAGCAGGAGCAAGATATTAACTTTTGGTTACCGGTCATTGTGACAGTTGCATCGAGCTCCTAACACATATTATTAGGGGCTAGCGTGCCGCGAGCCCGCCAGTCCCTGACCTCTACAAGGAGTTACGACTGCTTCCAGCAAAAGATCAAGTCCAAGTCGATAAAGGCTGCATCAAAAACATGTACAGCAACGTATACGTCAAATTGAACAATATCATATTTTGTGCTCTGATCTCAAATTTTAAGCCGATGTTATCGAAATCAGAAAAAATAACAATAACAATCTTTATAAATCGAGAAAGACAATAATTAGAATAGAAGCGTTTCTACATTGACCCGAACAGTAGCAAACCGTTAAACGCTTGGGCTAGGCTTTTGACCATGTGACATAGATAGTAATTTATATAGTGATACTGAGACGTTGCTTACACACGTCACATAACGATTGGATACTGAATTCCACGCGCAAACTATGCTTTCCACACGTCCTTATGTGATAAATAGATGAAACCTAATTTCAATAATGGTGTTTCAGGGTGGTCCGCAAAACTCGATGCCCAGTTTACGACGAGGACTTCACGTTCTACGGCATTGCGCCGCACCAGCTCGCCGGCACCACGCTGCACTTTGTCGTACTCAGTTTTGATAGGTCTGTTTTAGTTTGTGTAATTCTAAATGTAGATCTTTTTTTAGAATTTAAAACTTTAAACCTACTTCAAACGAGTGGTCGCTAAAATAAGAGACGTTTAATAAAAAAACTGGCTAAGTGTGAATCGGTCACGCACGTATGGAGGGTTTCTCAGTTGCTCACCACAAAACACAAACTAGGTGACAATCTCAGCAGTGGGCGTCATACGGCTGATATGATAATGATACATTAAATTCTTCCTGAAATTGTCTAGAATTCACTATAAATGACTGCTTCAATATTTTCAGATCATAATATAAAAGTGTGTAGATCTGGCCGCCTCAGCCGTGTTGCTCTATGGGGTACATATTCCTTTTTTTTTTCGATGACGGGGAAAAAATGCATTATATCCACGACAATGACCAACGCCGCGTTGGTTTGCTGTCAACAAACTCAAAAAAAAAACAAACAGAAATAACCCTAAGAGGCCAAAATTATGAATTTTTCCTTATGAATTTGAACGTAACTTCTTTTTTCAAACAATATTAAGAAAAAAATATGTAAGATTTATAGTTTTAATGCGCTTGTACCTAAATATATAAAAATCATAAGCTTCTTGTTTCATTTGCAGATATTCTCGTGACGAGATAATAGGCGAAGTGGTGGCGCCTCTGTCCACGCTGCAGCTCCAAAGCGGTGAAGCCATGGCCCTTTGCCGTGAGATTCAGCCGCGTAGTTTAAAGGTCGGTATCCTTTTTATATTCACTAAAACAGAAATTGAGTTTATCGTCATTACTAAGGCCCTTATAGCCTGCTTTTTTCTATGCGAAAAGACTAGAAGAAATTATTGTTTTTACTGGCGAGCATTAAAATTTGTAGTGTCAATAGATTCTTCGGGGCTTCCTTTTCCAAAATCTCAAAGTACATAAAAGTATTCGAAAACATATTTTTTTGAAACAACACTTTATAGTATATTCGTAGGTAAAATAACTGCAAAGATCTTAGAATTCAGCTTTTTGGAGAAATTTTCGTTCCTTGATATAGAACTTAACAGTGTATTTAACTTCTCTAAGCTAAAATTAAACGACCCGAGAAAAAATGATTCAAGAATTAAGTTTTTTTCTCTGAAGAATATAATGCTGAAATAGTAGGCAATCAATGGAAAGCGTAATAAAAATTTAACTATCTTCTTTGTCTCGGTCCTCAATGCTAGATAATTTAAAGAACTTGAAACACGCACTTGAACTTGAACTCTTTATTAACAGCACTAAAAAGCCAAAAATAAACACAATATACTCTCTGTTTACTTCATTAGGGCCTTCTTATAGTTAGCCATGTTTATAGTTTATTTTAACACATATATATATAACTGAAAAAATAATTTATTTTTCATATTTTAGTTTATCACAAAACATAGAACGAGTTTATTGCGATATTAAGACAGAATTAAGACGAATCTAATGAGCCCAAACGTGACTTGTTTACTATTAGGCAGTCCAGGGTCCATTGGCCACCTTCTAGTGTTGGGTAGGACACGATTTGAAAAAGAGTTTGTAAGAGTAGCCTCTTTTTTGTACTGAGCCAGTACAATGTCCCACTTCAAATGAGGCGAGGCGTACTGAAGCTCGGCAATAGGGTGCGGCCAGAGTGCACTCAGATTCAGATTCAGATTCAGATTCCGAAAACAAGCGCGAGAAATAAACAGTGTAGTCTAAGCAGGTTGCCTGCTTTTTCTCGCGCTTTGTTTTCTGAGTCTGGAGTGCACTCTGGCCGTACCCTTCGACTACCCTGTTTATTTCTCGCGCTTGTTTTCGGAATCTGAATCTGAATCTGAGTGCACTCTGGCCGCACCCATACATTTGAAGTGACGAGTACAAATATGACATTGAGGCGTATAGAAGCCCGACATTACGTTTGTGTGCACGAGCAGTACCTGGAGCGTAAGTTCTGAACGCTCTGAGTGCAACTTTTACCCTGACGTTTAAATTTTGACATAAAAATGTATGAAGCTAATGTCAGCTTAGATATTTGTTGCACCTAGAGCGTAGGTTTTGAACGCAACCCAGTGCGAGTGACAAGGATTATTTGGCGTGTGGATGACTTTGACAAGAGGGCGTTGTACTGCAAATTAATTATAGAAAACACAGTGAGACAGCATTATTTCCAGTTTGTGTCATGCGATGCGCCACGAGATCCTTGTCGCACTGTAACACAGACTACTAAGATAAGAGAGGGATAGGTACTACTACACTGTACCGTAGAGGACTTAAATAAAATGTCATGCCTCGCTCTCTCTCAGACTTACGAAGAGTGAGTGAGTAACGAGACGCGACTATCGCGACATTTAATGTGAAGTAGTACATTTTAAAATTTTGAGCCGCTCTTACATTTTGACGTCGTGTCCGGGACAAATATACCGCCTCTTGTAAGTCCTACTCGACACTACCACCTTCTAGTCCATCGTCAGATCCTCGTCATTAGGAAAATGAACAGAATATGTTAATACAAATCTAATAACAAATACGATATGTTTACTAGAAGCAATCCAAGGTTCTATCAGCCACCTTCCAGTCCCATCATCAGACCAGCACGATGGTACCATAATATTGTATTGTCATCTAAAGTACATATAATTGCCAAGTTTCATGATGATACAAGAATAAGAAGTGCGTGTTATTTAGATTCTTAGATTTTATTACAAAGTTCGTTCGTTACAAGTCGACCTAATAAAAGCATGTTGAAAATCAGTTAGCTAGACACTCTATGGTAAACGCTCCTCTATGTGCGACAGCTTTAAGCGACCCGCTGAGGGATGAGAACTTTAATATAATTTTATAAGCTCGCCATGACGGGCGACAGGCCATGACAAAACCCACAGCATCGGGGCTAGCTCAAAGCCCAGTCTACCGAATGCGTGCACATTGTGTCGTTGTGCTCATCGCCATGCAAAACGGGAAAGAGTACTAACGTGCAATGTTGTGCATCATTAGGCCTTATTACACTATGCTAAAAGCTTGTTTTGTGTGTACATGTAGATGCGCAGCGTGGGTCGCGGCGAGGTGCTGGTGTCGCTGTGCTGGCAGCCAGCGGCGGCGCGCCTCACCGTGGTGCTACTGAAGGCGCGCAACCTGCCCAAGATGGACGTCACCGGGCTCGCGGACCCGTGAGTGTTGCTGTACACGTACAGTGTGTAGATGTGGAGCGCGCCTCACCGTGGTGCTGCTGAAGGCGCGCAACCTGCCCAAGATGGACGTCACCGGGCTCGCGGACCCGTGAGTGTTGCTGTACACATACAGCGTGTAGATGTGGGGCGCGCCTCACCGTGGTGCTGCTGAAGGCGCGCAACCTGCCCAAGATGGACGTCACCGGGCTCGCGGACCCGTGAGTGTTGCTGTACACATACAGCGTGTAGATGTGGGGCGCGCCTCACCGTGGCGCTGCTGAAGGCGCGCAACCTGCCCAAGATGGACGTCACCGGGCTCGCGGACCCGTGAGTGTTGCTGTACACATACAGCGTGTAGATGTGGGGCGCGCCTCACCGTGGTGCTGCTGAAGGCGCGCAACCTGCCCAAGATGGACGTCACCGGGCTCGCGGACCCGTGAGTGTTGCTGTACACATACAGCGTGTAGATGTGGGGCGCGCCTCACCGTGGTGCTGCTGAAGGCGCGCAACCTGCCCAAGATGGACGTCACCGGGCTCGCGGACCCGTGAGTGTTGCTGTACACATACAGCGTGTAGATGTGGGGCGCGCCTCACCGTGGTGCTGCTGAAGGCGCGCAACCTGCCCAAGATGGACGTCACCGGGCTCGCGGACCCGTGAGTGTTGCTGTACACATACAGCGTGTAGATGTGGGGCGCGCCTCACCGTGGCGCTGCTGAAGGCGCGCAACCTGCCCAAGATGGACGTCACCGGGCTCGCGGACCCGTGAGTGTTGCTGTACACATACAGCGTGTAGATGTGGGGCGCGCCTCACCGTGGTGCTGCTGAAGGCGCGCAACCTGCCCAAGATGGACGTCACCGGGCTCGCGGACCCGTGAGTGTTGCTGTACACATACAGCGTGTAGATGTGGGGCGCGCCTCACCGTGGTGCTGCTGAAGGCGCGCAACCTGCCCAAGATGGACGTCACCGGGCTCGCGGACCCGTGAGTGTTGCTGTACACATACAGCGTGTAGATGTGGGGCGCGCCTCACCGTGGCGCTGCTGAAGGCGCGCAACCTGCCCCAAATGTCTATCAGTCACCGAGCGTCTCGTTGCGGGATGTCTGATATTTTGGAGCCACAACTTGAGAGAGAGAGAGAGAGAGAGAATCATTTTTATTGACCACATTATAAATTTACAAAACAACATAAAAAAAAATAAGAAAATATACATAATGGAGAAAAGAAGAAAAAAAATAAAGTACCATTTGTGGTCAATCAGTATTCTGGCAGGGCCTTTTATGCCGGAACCTCACATGGCCAATCGCATCCGCCTCGATAGCAGTTCCAACTTGTGTCTTTTTGTTTCCCAACTTTATAATCTAGAGAAAATAAAAGAGCATGTCTTATTACAAGAAAGGCTACCTTTCTCCTGTTACTAGTCTTCATGAGGGGTCTGGATTTCTTTCATTTGTTAATTAATATAAACTATGTTGTATGTACAGGATAGGATGTGTCATGTTTATTTTATAAGTTCAATCTCTTATCTATTAGACAAGTCCGTCTGTCTGTGGTGCTGTTTCAGCGGCCAAACCGTAAGAGATAGATAAAGAGAATATTTAAGTTATAAGTTAAGAATAGTCTGATAAGACTACAAACCGGATTTGAGTAACGTAGCACTTCCGGTATTCGAGAAATCAGGTTTTGGTGAACATTTGGTTCACTGGTTTGCTAGTATATTTATAATGATTTGAAATAAACATATTTTCTTTCCGCACTACTCTATGAGCATAATGTGCTTTTAAAGGGGAAAGTACGAAAGTTTTCCCTTCGCATATTAACACATTAACAATATTTTTTCAGGTACGTGAAAATGTACCTGCTGTACAATGGGCAGCGGATCGCGAAGAAGAAGACGCACGTGAAGAAGCGCACTCTCAACCCGGTGTTCAACGAGTCGTTCGTATTCGAGGTGCCGGCCGCGCCCAACGCCACGCTCGACCACGTGTCGCTCGAGCTGCTCGTGCTCGACTGGGACCGGGTCACCAAGAACGAGGTAAGTTATCACAACATCATTATTAGCAGCAGCAGCCTATCAATGTCCCCACTGCATTGGATCACAATCCAAACGTTTAGCATCGGAAGAAGACGCACGTTAAGAAGACGAATCGTTCGTCAAGCTCGACCACGTGTCACTCGAGCTGCTCGTGCTCGACTGGGACCGGGTTACCAAGAACGAGGTTAATATGCAAACTTTTTTGCGGATAGCAGAGAAACCCTACTTTCAGTTCAGTGAATCTAAAGATATAGAGAATGGGCAGAATGTTCTCTGACCTGTGAAGTATAAGAGATAAAGCGATCAGGCGGCCAGTTGTTGTAGTTAAAAAGTATTAAATATTTCATACGTCTTTGATGATAACGTTATTTTGAAAAAGTGAGACAAATACGCGTTACATAAAACAAAAGACCCAATAATCGTCCTATGAACACGCGGTATCTAAGCAGCATCTTCGCCGTGATTGAATAGTTATCACGCAATCAGCTACGCGCTCTTTTTTGATTAGACAAACATTAAGCATGTGCCGTCGTTGTCACTGCAGGTGATTGTCCTACTAACAAATCGTGTCCAAGAAGTAGGTAGGTGGTTGGATAGTTATCAAGCGGCAAGCGCCGCGCACTTTCTGATTGGGCGAACCTTAATCTCGCGTCGTTATCGCTACAGGTGATTGGGCGACTGGAGCTGGGCGCAGAGGGCGCGGGCAGCGCGCGGCACCACTGGCGCGAGGTGCAGGCGGCGCCGCGCCGGCAGATCGCCGACTGGCACAAGCTCAAGGAGTGAGCTGCTTACTTCGCCGCCACAACTAATCACACCGGCTCAACTTATCAACGCTGAGAAGTACTCCCCGAAAACACGTCTAACTAATTCATCCAAAAAAAAAATACCCTAAACTCCGTTCACGGAAACTAGTCATCGCTTTCTTTACAACTTAACTTACAACACAATTTTTGTTTGCAAAAGATGAGGCTGGAAAACTAGCTTACACGAGAAAGAGGGCTGTCATTGGTTGAGGTGACGACGAAGATATAATCCAGGCAATGACAGGTAATCTAGCGTTGGTACTAGCTCGTTTCCGTGAATAAAGTATTACGCGACTGGCACAAGTTCAAGGAGTGAGCTACTTACCCCGCCGCCCCAACTAATCACACCGGCTCAACTAATCAACGCTAAGAAGTACTCCCCAAAAAACGTCTAACTGATTCATCCAAAATAAAAATAACCTATTCTCTGTTCACGAGAACTAATTAATAGTCAGTCGAGCGATTTTTTTAAGATTTTTTTTAACCTATAGTGGTACTTCGTTCACGGAAACTAGTCAGTGGAGCGTTTTCTTTATTACACAATTTTTATTTCCAAAAGACAAGGCTGCAAAACTGGCTTACATGAAAAACAGGACTGTCATTGGTCAGAGTGACGACAAAGATACAATCCGGGCAATGATACATAGACTAGCGTTGGTACCAGCTTGTTTCCGTGAATAGGGAGGGTATTACGCCACGCCAGCAGATCGCCGACTGGCACAAGCTCAAGCAGTGAGCCAATACTTACCCCAAAGCTCCTATCACTCCGGCTCAACAATACAACTCCGAAATGCTCGCCGAAAAGACGTATTACTGATTTATCAAAAATAACTCTATACTCGGTCCACGGAATCAAATCAGTGGAGCGATTTTTTTAAAAAAAAATATTGTTTACCTACTTCGTTCACGGGAACGAGTCAGTGGAGCGTTTTCATTATAAATGTCATTTGCAAAAAACAAGGCTGGATAAGAGAGCCGTCATATGACAAAGTAACGACACCGATACAATTCGGCTAACGACACAAAAGCTTAGCTTACAACGATACTAGCTCGTTAACGTGAATAGAGATTACCTATCTAAATAGCCGAATCGTCTGTCTGCATACCGACCAAGAAACGATCGCAGAATCACGGCTCTGCAGCTTGATCTCCTTATGCTATTCTATCTAATAAGAAAGCTTGTACGATGCATGATGCCATTAAATAATGATATATCTTCTATCGTCACAACCCGTCCATCGGATCGGCGCCAAAAGGCAGAATAGTGTAGTTGTGCTGTAAAATCTGCCAACCGCTTAGTACCCTAGTTTCTTTCTCACTATCGCAGCTAACAACTGTACAATCCTCCAATGGTGAAGTTAATCGAACTGGTTTATACAACACGATAGGGTTATATTACTTGTTATAATATTGCGGATTTGAGTGTAAAAGTAAATGAATCTACGAAACGTGTTTTCGGAGAGCACAGTGCTCTGGCATTCAATTCTAAGCTCGCTCCCGCCCGACTGCCGACATAGGATTTGAAACTTGACCCATCGTTGCTATCTTATCAAAGGCTACATGAGGCACATCTACAAATTCTTAGCATTTTCTATCCATGCCGCTGTATAGTGATTGTACTCGAGAAGAGTAGGTACCTACAACTCTTATTAGTTTTCCATTTATTTGTTATCAAAACAATTAATTTAGTGTTTCGAGTCTTAATTTTACGTTTTCGGTTCTTGTTGTACTATATTTGTTGGTGTGGGAGTTTATCACTGTTTTTAGGTAAAATCAATCTGCCCCCCTAGCATTAGCACCGCGATATGATATAAAACGCGTTTTTATCATGCTCAATTGTCAAATAACTATGGAGTTTGATAGTTAGACGCGATACAAAACGTGTTATAATGCAAATTGGGATGCTCGTCCTACAGAGACGGGATTTTGTAAGTTTCATCGATTCCACGTGATATAAGTATTATAAACTTGAACTCGTTATCATCATCAGGGAAAGCTCTTTTGAATTCATCAAAGGCGATTCAAGCGATAAATTAATAAAGTGCCAGTGCTCCAAATTCCATGTTAATACTACAATAAATAGACATAGACGTATGTGTGTGTATATTTAAACCATTAAAAATTTCGTGATAGTCAAAACAAAGCTCATCAAAAAATGTATTTTTTTTGTTATATGAATACCCAACGATTCCATTACAATATTGAGGTATGAGGGTAGTGCAAATATATTTCGTAAGGAGGCAAAGCCAAAGTCCAGACACAGGTATGAAAATGAAAATCTTGATTTACTTAGTATTAATTTGTAATTATAATGTTAACTATATATTTTGTATTAGATAGTGAAATTATGGAGATTGTTTTTATTTATATTATATTTTATTAGGGAAATAACATGATGTTTGTATATGCTTAATTCGAACGCACACGCGGTGTAAATGGCATTACCATGATCCTATTAGTTCCCAGAGACAATTATTGTGTGATGTTGCACCCAAAACACATCATGACCTCCCATTTAGTCTAGATTTGCTTGAAAGTGGAGTTGAATGTTCTGTAATTCAGCACCAATATTCAATTTCTCACATTTTTAAACATATCTAAATGTAAGACATTGTACAGTCGAAGTCTGCTTCTTTTAGACATTGATCGCTTGATAATAAACCTTGATAATAGGATGAAACTGTTTAAGTAGTAATGGTCGCAGATCACTTTTTCGGAAAACAAATTCAAGACAGGTAGTTGCCATCAGATATCTGAAACAGGTAATAAGATGATTAAATACTACGAATTGTGAAAAAACTGATGAAACTTAGACCGAGGCCACACTGGTCCGGCGACTGCGACGCGACGGGGATTTTGTGAAAACAAACTCATAAATAAACACCATGTCGCACTGCAGACGTAACTGCTTGTACTGCGCCGTTGCGTCGCAGTTGCCGTACCACTGCGGCGTCGGCCTTATACTAAATAACTTTTGAAATTAGCATCCTTGTTGGGAACTATAACAAAAAAGGTTTACCTCAGTATAATAATAATAAGCTCATGGACAACATTGCTTCATCAAACTAAAATATGTTAACAATACCTTGTAACCACACTGTATAGAAACTGAAACATCACACTGAACTGAAAGAAAAAAACCATCAATCGAGTAAAATGTAAGTATAGGGTTAGGACACAATCTCATTTAACATATTGTTGGATGTTTACATCTACGCTACGTTATAAAACTAAGAAAGATAATAATAATTGTATTATTTTAAGTGTAGAATTCCCTTAAAATAATATTTCTAAATTACACCCTACGCGTGTATCGATGACCTCCTTAAAACGTAAGAAGTTCCTCGTAATTCTAGGATCAACAAAATTGGTTTCACGATAATACTCAGTTATAAATTTAGAACATCAAAAATATGTATAGTATTAGGTTAGAGAAATCAATCTATTTTATACTAAATATAGGTAGAATTACTTCTGAGACTAGATTTTGAATTGTATTCAAAAGCTCATAATGAGGACGCTTGAGCTTTAGGGCAAGTATACCTTACATTATAGTAACGCATGTATCCGCTATACGTAGCGCTTTCACTGTTTAATCTATCGATCCTTATTTCTTTATTATATTCATTGAAGCCTTTGTTTGTGTCACGATGTTTAAAGTAAACAACGATAAAAATGTTTCTTAAAAATATCTAAATTAAGTATGAACATTTCCGTTTATTGTATGTACAAATTAACATTGTGTTAAACAGATAAAAAAATATAATAAATATAAACTGTCTAACAGTTTAGTTCATAATAGAAATAAGAGTCATGTATTACGTAACCTTAAAGTAAGTTGTGTGTATAGAGAAGTACTTACCAAAGATCCATACTTGAACATTCCAAGGACTAACTAATGTAAATAAACACCCATCGCTTAGTCAAATATGCAAACACGTTCTAATTGTTAAATATAAGTGGAAACCAGTAAATATTTTCGTTTGGAACTATGTGTTTTTGTATTTTCAATCTGTATTGATGTTCTTAGTAGAATCGTGTTGATTTCTCCATAACGTAATTAATGATACCGTTAATTTATAAAGGAGCTAACGGTCACGAGTTTTCATGTAATATTTAAACTTTATTGGAATATATTGAAAATTCCTGGGGATTTACTTTTGGTATTTATTTCGGTGCAGATCAATACGGAAATCAACATGTCACAAAATGTTAAACATAATTTGGTTGCAGACTTTATTTACTGAATTATATTTTTTTTTTGTTTTTCACCTATCCATATGATAACGAATCAATTTTAATTTTCTTCGAAGGGTGTAATTTGAATTTAATAGAAAAAATAAGGTCAATGCCATGTGACCGTAGCTCCAGACCACATCTCACTTTGTCACATTTACGAGTAGTTCGAAACCGATATCAAGATTGTAAACTAAGGGGTTTTAGTGAATAAATTATTGACTGGTGCTTTCACATAATTGTTAGTTTCATTTGTAGATTATGTAAATGTACACCGTGAATTTTGAGTTACCGGATGACATGTTAATTTTACCTAAGTATTAGGTACCTAATTCAGACAACTATTTAGGTTATATTTTCGTAAAAAAAATATTTGATACAAATTATTGAAAATCGGTTCACTTGGAAGAAATGATGCCGAAGTAATACTTAAATTTTCTTCTATTTACCTACCTCAGTAAACATGACTCCCTATGTTCGTAGCAGACATATCGACAAGAAATGGATCATCACTGTAATAACTCGATCCGTTCAGTATTGTTTGTCGGAAACTCCATACTACAGTACACACTAAACGGAATCGTAACGCTAAATCGCTTCGCCTCGCGTCGGGATGAACTCCCGAACTTGCGTGGTCAACTCTCCGTACCCTTTGCTTGTCTCTTCGTTCACGCTCTGCCCGCAGTCTGCGTTGCCGAATGTGCTGCTCAAAGTGAAAGTATACCCTCTTTTTATTTTTTAGATGACGGGGAAAAAAAGTACTTTACATTATTCACGACAAAGACAAACGCTGCATTGATTTGCTGTTAACAAACCCTCGCAACGCAGGTACAGTTATTTAATGATAACGATTTATAGATAACGGCACGTAACTCTAGCGCTGAACAAAACGCGGAGGGGATAGCTGCGCATAGGTACGACTGGAGAGCGAATCGGCGCAACGCACGCCCACCCGCGCACCTCGTTTCCCCCCAAGTCATCTTAATTTTTACTTCTGCGCAATAATGGTCAGCGCTAGTTTCGTGCCGCAACTTATAATTGCGTGGTACATTCGGCCAGCGGGGAGCAGCCCGAGGGCCACTAGTCTGTGTAGGTATACTTTGACATGCATTCGCGCAAGCGTGGCAGACGTCAAACCACGCCGTCTCCGACCGTCAGCCAGGCCAGCACCCGCTTCAGCCGATCCTGGGCTTCGCCATTCACAGCGTCACCTGACTAGTCTCATAACCATTCCGTTTCAAATGCAGACTCTTAAAACGGAGTGGTTTTATATCTGACTGAGTGAACTGGTGCCGCCTAGCCGTGAACTTATCCGCTTACGATACTACTTAGGTTAGGCGAACGCCTGTTTGACGGCAAGCCGAAAGGCGAAATTGGTATCGAACCCTTTCTGAGTTGATATGTGTGCTATAAACACTTAGGTTGATATTGCTTACTAGGGCCTAGAATTATGGTGTATTTTATAACGTTAGGTTCACATGAGTCCTACCTATATATATGTTAATAATTCTTAAAATATGGAGCAAGTAAATATTTTGTAGTAAGAAAGAAATGGTAGCAAATTTGATTCAATTTGTTGCGCATTATTTCTACGTTTAATATCCGCGGTCTATTTCCTTGATAACTACGCTACAGGATAAAGGTAAGGTAAGGTTAAAATGAATATTCACCCGAAATGGTTGCGGTTATTCTAAAAATATATTAAAGGATATTTAAGGCAACTATCCAACGCTAAATGCAAATATTGTCCTCTATTCTGACACACATGTCAAGTCTTATCCATACATCAACTAAAGTTTCTGGAGCTGTCTGTCCATCGGTACTACACAGTAGCTGTCGCATTCTGCGTAATTTATCACCCATCATCATCGGCCTATTAATGTCCCCACTGCTGGGATACAATACTTCCCTATGGATGGAATAGGGAGATTGGGCCGTGACCGCGGGTCCAGTGCAGATTGATGGGCGCTAACGACTGCAGATACAGCCGAGACCAACGGCTTAACGTGCCTTCTGAAGCACGGAGGAGCTCGAGATAGTAAATTTTTGGTCGCTGACTGCTGCGAAAGTTGCTCAAATTCAAAGATCACAGCCGACCGCGCTTACCACTTGCGCCCTCGAGCTCCTTTCTCAATTTCTCACTGGCTTTTCAATATCGGAAAAAATAGGAAGGATATATCGGTTAAAAATACATGTACTTTCTTTTTATCAATTGTATATTTTGATATCAAATCTTATTACATATAACACAGCTTAACAAAGTTGAAAATATACTCATGACAACGGGTAAAGGCTTCACCGATGACCCAATGGGATTATCGTTAGAACTAAACCCTGTCCCGTACATCGCATGATTGTCATGTCGGTGCTAATAAGTGTTATCAGGTTAGCCATATAGCCATCTCACCACTATACACAAAACTCTTCAATAATAAAAAAATAATCAAGCCCAATAAATCCATGATCACTAATTAAAATTAAAAATTGTCTCCTTAAACCTTTCGTTCTGGCAACATGATTCAATTTATTCAACTGGCAACTCTGAGCATCAACAAAATGCTGCGGCCAGACTAACTGCTATCAAACCAAAGACAATTTGTGTCGTGTCGTTTCAAATTAAAATATTTCATAAACAATGAACACTTATTTCTTAACCGAGACGTAGTCAGAAGTAACATCAATACGTACACATTTATATTGTCGTTTAATACAACTCCTATATGGACGTCTCTTTGATTTCGTCTAGCTATTAGTCTGCTTCCTAGATAACTATACAGTGAAAATCGATCATAGTTGAGGAGGAACCACTATAATATGCTACATAGATCGTACTGTCAGTCAAATCTCTAAAACGTGCGTTTTAAAAGTCTTTGACATTAAGCTCCAACTCGACTAACACAATAAACGATGATAACAAACCTCAAATTTATTGAGATTTGTAAATTGAATTAGGTAGAAACTTTTCCAACGATTGACTAAAATTGACATAATAACGGTTCCCCCTCTCCCGAGGAAGTGACACCCCAAGTAATATAGCTTTAACAATGAAACCCTAAACATTTAAATAAATTACAGTAATAATGATAATAATAGTACACGAACAGTGACAATAGTTAGGCAAGATTCGAGTGTGCGCGTACATGTGAGCACTTACCATTAAAATATATCTACAGAGATAAAAGTTATACAAAACAATATCCTCGTAAACTATGACTAATTCGTTTATTGCTACTAGTTAAAATGAGATATGAATTCCAGTCCAGATATGTTAAAACTGTGTATAAGATATTACGATATTTTGGTCCGAATAGTGTACATTTTTTGAAATACTATACAATTATAAAATTAAAAATAAAGTCTTTAGAGATGTCATCCAGTCTGAATTTTTAGTAATTTAAAATAAAATATACACTAACTTGACGAAATATTAAGAAAATTCTTGATTACCCATAAATACAAAAAGACTGCTATGGTAACCGTCATTTCATTATTGATAGATACAACTAATCCATAAAAATTACAAATAATTACATTAATATTTACAAATTATTAAATGCAGTATCCTACACAAAAGCAAGAAGAAATAAATAAATTATTACATAAGCTTTGCAAAGCCTTTTAAAAAAATAGTATGACAAGTCTCATAGCAAAAGTAATCTGGGGAAATAACTTATATTTATCTCGAATGATTGTGTTCTTATTTTATAAACAGGCGCCAAGGAAAAGTTATTATTTAAAAGGAGCTTCAAGAATGTCAAGAAAGTCATTGTAAGTATCATTAGATAACATTTCAATAATTCATAGAATACAATTAACATTTCACATCAAAACAAAAATTAAAAACGTGCACTTTATTATAACAGATTCTCATCGACGTAGGTATAATAAACATTACAATTTCCTGTATGAAAATAATGGACTAACGTTTAAATTTACAGCCACAACGTACATCAAACATATAATTCTACTCAGTAACAAATATTGTGGGAATTTAGACCATAGTCTGTAACACCTTAAAATTTTAATACATATGTATAGGTTATTACCGGTAAGTATTAAAAAGCAGCTTTATGCTGAATTGCAAAAGCCTTGGAACTGGTTACCACGATTTTCTTCGTGAGTATGGGAATGAATATTTATTACCGCAGTTATAAGAACTACTCTGTTTATTATAAGGTAGGCATTATCGAAATTAGGCATATTTTCAATCAATATTAAAAAATACAAAATACCCGTGCGGCAATTCCGTTCAGGCATTCACAATCAAGCATTCATATTATGTATAATTGAGTATTCAAAGCTCCTGTCACATTATGCCAAAAATGCATATATAATACTGTATCTGAGAAGTATGGCATCAATATTTATCATATAAATATATGTTTTGAATAATTTTCAGCATGATTCGGGCGCACATTTTAGAGATGTTTACAATAAAAAGAGAGCTTCCAATTAAAATTGTGCGGCGCGAGTACCTTTTGTGGAAATTTATTAGACGTGCATTCACTAAAACAAACGCTGAATCCAACTTAGGGCGAAGCAAAATTTGATTCGCTAATGAGATCCTACTTATTAAGCCCTCGTGTCGGTGATGTAACTGAAGTATTCTTGATATCGCATTATATCACACCATTCATATTAAAACTGGCAAGACTTACACGAGTCTGACAAGGCAAGAAACATCAATAAACTTTGAATGGCATAAAGTGGTTTACAGTTTTCAGTAGAAATATCCACCTAACTGGCAAGATCCCAGATAAAAATCTCTACCGAGACGCTGACATACAAACTAGCAAACTGATTATCTTTAACTCCAGTGACATCACCACGCTGCGGGCGGACAATCGGACATTACAAAAATCCCTTTCTAAAACATCCGTCTTAATAATAGAAGATCCAATCTCCATTTGTGGAGATAACGATATTGTTGCATGTGATCCCATAGTCGAAGCTCGAGACTCCAGAGTCGCCGATGCTAAGAGATTGATGCTGTTATATGAAGGACGGCACAAAGTTGTTCCGGCCTGGGGATTAAAGCAGGCCCCGGTCTAGTTCTTTGCGGAGCATCCGGGTCAACTTCAAGACATCCTCGTCGACTTGACCCGCGAATAAAGAGTCCAGGAGTTCACCCCGGGATGCTAATGAAAATACCCCAGCGAGACGTGACACCGATTTGTCTGATAGATGCCTCTCAACTACTGACCTGTATGAGGAAAAACGGTTCATGAAAACTTGACGATATGATTACGTAATTAGAAATGATAATTTATGCAAAATCAACTTTAACTTACAACTTTACTAACAAGCGTTTCCAATATTCTGAAAGACTATCTTAACAGAGAAGGTTTATTTTTCTGAATATTTTAATCAATACCTAATAGAAAAATAACGACTTAAGAAGTAAACAACAAGTTAATCGCTTATTGAGAAAAAAAAACATGAAAGCGGTCGGTAACTCAAGAAGTTTTTGTTTTTATGAAGTGTACAAATTAATAACTTCGAAGGGCTTTAACACGGTCTGTCTGTTATGATGAAAATGGCTTGTGCCTAATCTCTTTAATTCCTTACATTTTACGATCATGATATGAATATCACTCTATAAATTATAGAGTTTATACTTACTTGAGCGACTGATGCGATTCACGCAAAGCGTCCTGCAGAAAACCTCGGTCGTAAGAGAATTCAACTTCACAGAATGACACTACAGCCATGAGAACCGTCTGAAAAATATGCAACGAAAATACTTAGTCTGTTGAATTGTTATCAGATAACTGAATTTCTTAACAGTACCCTTAGATGAGTTTTTTTAATAGGAAACGAACGTACGTCTTCGTCGATTCAATCAAACTGTACGTTTTCGAATTGTAACGCAGTACGAGTATGGAATTTCGCTCCTTGTCTTCACGATATCGTATGCTCGATGACTCGATTAAACGAACTTCACACTGTTTAGTTTTGTCTCTTTCGTTCTTTATTGCCAAAAAAGAGATTGCTGCGCCATTCATTTAATTCAACCTAAAACAAAGCTAATCTATGTAAAACTCTAGACTTAATCTTATTAATCTGTGTCCAAAGAATATAGAACCTACGTTTATCTTTGTGTGAAACTCGGCTGTATGTGTCTGTATGGTTGACTTCAAGGCCGTAAAGAAATAAAATTAAAAAATATATATACATAGTACAAAATGCCTGTCGGTGATAAAAGAAGTTAATCGCCTCCGCTGTAATAATTCCCGTCGTTCCTGTGCACGCTGGTCTTCGTCAATCTCTTCAGTGAGCATGAGAGCTAAGTATTGTGCCGAAAACATTATTAGATTGCATAAAAACTTGGCCCAAAACACAATCGAGTGACGATACGATCAAACGTCGTAGTATACTCATGACGCGCTGTCAAAGTTGTAACTTGTACTGCCAAAATGCAAACAACATACAAAAAATTTGGTATTTTACGATGACTCGACGAAATTGATACTACTGATTTTTGTTTTTGAAAGTTAACGCTAGAGGCGCTGCTAGTCAATGTATGGAAACGAGACGATACGATTGATCGAATTCGAAAACGATTGAAACTCATACTAGGGGTACAGATGTATTGACGAGGGAATTTTCGAATGGAATGCATTGTCACAAAACTGAACCCATTTCGAGACTAAAGATAAAATTAACACGTTAAAATGTTACAAACTGGAACCAAAATCTACATTGCCCAGAGTAGCCTAAATATTGGAGAATATCATTCACAGATTTACTAGAGGTACACGTAAAATATAAAGTCTTCAACTTTTTAAATAACTCTGACAGCAACTAGAGGGAAACAGCGGGAGAGCTTCTGAGGTATACTCATATGGAATGGAACTGAGCTCGGGCGACAGTTGCCCGTGATCACGTGCTTTACTAGCTTCTCCCTCTCCATCCTCCATATCTGTGGAGTGATATACTCACATGGAACTTGGATCGGAACGCGGCGAGCGCGCGCTCGTCGGCGGGCGACAGCTGCCCGTGCCGGCGCAGCACGCCCAGCTTCACGGCCGCCTTGATCACGTGCTTCACTAACTTCTCGGCTTCCCGCTTCTCCACACGCTCGCGCAACACCGTTAGAAACTAAAAAACACATGTAATTATATTGCATGGTGAAAGATTCTATAAGACTTTTATGTAAAAATCGCTTGGTAAACATGCTTATATAGCTCACTTATGGTTATCACCATTAGTCTATAGGCGCTAGCTATATAACCATTATCAGCCTATTAGTGCGACTGCCGGGGCACAGGCCTTCTCCATTGATAAAATAGGCCCTATTACATCCATGGAGAAAGCCTGTCGGAAATGGCCCAATCTCCCTATTCAACTGGGGTATTGGATCATGACCCCACCACGCGGGCCCAGTGCGGATTGGTAACTAAACGACTACAGATACAGCCGGGACCAACGGCTTGACGTGCCTACCAAAGCAAGGAGAACTCGTGATACTAAGTTTTGGTATCACATCCAACGACCGATCATTTCGAAAATTGCTTAACTTTCACGATCGCAAGTCGAAACGCGCCAACCACCTGCCCCATCGAGATTGTCAGCTAACTAATATCAAGTCATTTTACTGGAGTGTCAATGGCACGTAGCCTACCCTTACCCTACCCCTACCTCTTGACTCTAGCGGGATTACTGACTGCAGGAATACAAGAGTATCAACGCCCGCGCGCTCGCTAAACCGCCGACTCGCGACAGAAATGATGCCACTGAACTGTGGGTGCTGTCTTCCTAAATTTATGCTACGGGTGCGAACAGTGCAGGAGTATCACACTAAATACCTACCTGACGCACGACGGAAACTTCTTTACGAGAGATGTCACTGTACTGCGGGTGCTGTCTTCCTAAATATATGCTGACGGGCAGGAACAGTGCAAAAGGAACACACGTATTACCCACCGCGTCTACGACTTTCACCGCCTGCTCGTCAAGTATCCACGCTCGCGCGCTCTTAGCACCGCCGACGTGCGACATAAACTTCTTCACGCGAAACATCACTGAGCTGCGGGTGCTGTCTTCTTAAAGTTATGCTAACGGGCGTGAACAGTGCAGGAGGAATACACGTATTAATACCTGGTCTAGGAGTTTCGCCGCCTGCTCGTCGAGTATCAACGCACGCGCGCTCGCCGCGCCGCCGACGCGCGACAGAAACTTCTTCTGTGCTCGCAGCGAGATGTCGCGTGCGCACCACGCGCCACCCTCCATTGCTAGAATAGAAAATAAATAAATTTCATTTGTGCTCGCACTTAATGCGAAACACGAACAAAGACATCAGGCGACTCAGTTTGCCCTGCTTCTTGGAACAGAAATGAACCAGGAGTTTTTAAAAGAAGTACTCATAGGCACGAACGTAAGGTTAGAATGAATAGTGTTGCTATTCGTATATAATTCTAACTAAAGTCGGACCACGATAACTCTGCAGTGGACTGACCATAGCAAAATTTTAAACTTTGCACATGGCAGTACTGATTGTAGTTTAATTAACTATCCCTGATACTTTGTTTTTAATCGGCTTAAAAAAAGGAAGAAGTGTGTGTGTGATACATCATAGGCTATAGCTTGTTGAGTAGGATATGAATATTGTTACGTATCGGGACGGGGTTCGAAAGTATAATGCCAGTTCATAATGCCAACTTGACAAATCTTTATTCACTACACAGTTCACACGGTAAACACTTTATATTAGTCACAATGACAATGCATTCACTGTACACTAAATAAAAGAGTAGCCATGAATGTTGTCATTTTTATACCGGTTTTTGCTACGGGGTATATTTCAAAACTAGTTAAGAATGTGAAAGATTTTAATTTCAAAATCTGCATTTAAACAACAAATTCTGAACAGTGATATAAGATAGCTTCAATTACAGGATTATTTCATTGCATACTAATTTAGTGAAGATCTGTTGAGTACTTAGGGAGACGAATCGTGGAAACTCCTCTATTACAAACAGTACATATCGATAAAACGGGTAATGCATTCCAGCTAGGAGCAAATAATAATTATTGTATTTGTCAAAATAGTTTTAATAATAGTTTTTGTCAAAATTCGTTTTATTGTTGCTCGCGCATATTTCCGAGATCGATTTCGATGATTCTGTCCCAAAAATTTTTCCTTCACAAACAAAACATTAAAAAAATGTTTTTCAAAGGAATGATTCTTGTTTGAAATGACATTTGTGACATTTATGATTGACATCCTAAAAGGGCTGCCAGATCGCGTTTACTGGTGTGACTGCAAAGTTATCGTGGTTCGACTTTAGATATAATTCACAAAACAGCTATTAATTTTTAGTTTTAGGGTGACCAACCAGAATAGTAATTCTGGCAGTAGCCAGGAATTCCGATTATATTAATTTACACACACATTAAAAAAAGACAAGTTTGAAAACGGAAAGCCCAAAAAAAACACGGCAGATTGTGACATTCCCGACAGATTGTCAATATTATGATGCCATAAGTATTCTACTGTTGTAAAAGTAAAGACTATACAACATACCATGATGCAAGTAGAGCATCCCGTTCCGAACCATTACGCAGACCGTGTAATATCATCTACGCATTCACATTTTTTGCACGCCTTCCTCCATCATGAAACGTAATTTCTATACACAGGCTAAAACTGTTACCGCCTTATTCCAAAACGTGGGCTAAAGTGAGACTTGGTTTAAACCAGACGGCATTAGGTTTAAACCAAGTTGTCTTCTTTTTGAAAAAAAAAAGTGGAAGCTACAATTTTAGTCCAGGTTTAACTTAAGTCTACATTTGTATTAAGGCGGTTAGCGTTTGCATTTATGTATTTTTTGCTTTTGCTTAATTTTAAACTGAAAATTACTTTAAAAGGGCTTTTTTCGAAATTCCATACCAACACGAAATTTCCGAAAATCTCGAGTCATATTTAAAGCAATCACTATACAAATCAAGCGGTAAATTCCTTAATCACTCATATTCCACAAATAACAATTATCTTGAGAGCATTGTAATCAAGGAACAAGTCTGTGGATGCAATTAAACAAATATTTATGTTTTTCTTTTATGACGTAGATATATTAGTAGTACTACTACTTAATTGACTGTCATGGCATCTTCTCTTTTTTTAATGACATTTTGTAATCATCAACTCCAACAAAAAAAATATAATAAAAGATTAGCAATACCTAGATATACGCTACCAACATAAAATATTATCGTTACAGTTACCTGCTTTGTTACACAAATTAATAATGAAATACCACCGAAACACCACCGAGCCAACTGCTAATAAAATAAACGAAAAACGATCGAATTTCGTCGTATGGTTTTTTTTTAATTTCGCATCCTCGATGATGCATCACATCAGCACGTCCAATGTCAGGTATGGTCATATCTATTATTTCTGTAACGTTCCGCGACGGAGCCTCATCAATTTCGCTCAGCACAATGGACAATTGCACTCTCAATTGGATCTCTCTAGTAACTGGGACAATGGACGGGCACTGCTTGTTTTGATGCCGAATATACTCGTTCTAACATTACCTAAGCGTATGTACACTATTCCACAATTCTGATTGGTTTTATTGTTATCCTAACTATTGTTGAAGCAAATAATAAAATAGTACAGGGTGTGTGTTTTTATTGGTCTAGCATGTAAACATCGATGTTAAGTGAAGATGGTCCAGCCGCAAACATTGCCAATGCGGCAGAGAAATATGCCGCCATTCCAGCCATCCCCATTTTGCCAGTCTGTAACCCTTAGTACGAGTTTTACAATTACGAAAACTATGATAGTTTTCGTGAGCTCGCAGTCGTACTAAGGGTACTGATTTTATTGTTTTCGTTTCAATACAAATAAACAGTATTTAAATTATATCATTAAATCATTTGCGTCTTCTAAGTTTTAAGTTTATTTGGTTACTTTTCACCAAAATGGACATAGAAACATAATTTACAATTACGAAAACTATGATAGTTTTAGTGAGCTCAAACTTCCGAACCCGATCGTTTTTACTCACTCTTTTATAAATTTTTCAGGTCTCCCTCCTACCGTAAATTAACGAACTAAAAGAGTCTGTGCCCTGGCTAAGCTTGTACTACTTAGTAATATATTTTATAAAAGAATTGAAAAATAATTTTACGTAATTTAACTTAATAATATTTAATAAGGAGGTGTTAAAATTATTTTTTGATCATTTTTATGTTCAGTCTTGTTTGATAGCTGAAACAAATTTTAAAACGAATAATATTACTCAGAACTTTCCGTTGGCAATAAAAGCAACACAGCACTAGAAGAACACGGCGTGAAAATGATTTTCCATCTCCCATCTAGCACAGGTACGTTTATTTCGTTCTATTTTTTTGCGGGTGAATATTCAACCTTCCCCCGGAGGACTATCACGATAAACACCAGCGGAGCATAAGTCGTCGCTTCATAAATCCTCGGCAACAACGAGGGAACTCATACTTTATACCCGATAAGAAGAACTGAACAACTCGCGTTCAAGGCGCGAAGGCACCGAGGGATCACGCCAACTTTATCGACTAACTTTTAATAGAAATCGACGCCAGTGTAATTCGTTTTTATCAAGTCGCTTGCTTGAATAGCGATATTTTATCGAAGTGTTCGCATATTGGAAGACTTCAAAGTTTGTAAGTGTGTGCAAACGTTTGCAAGACAAACATGTTCATTTGTGAGTGTTCCAGGCATTATAATATATAATTTTGATTGATATATTATAATGCCATAATCCATACTCATAAATATTATAAATGAGAAAGTGTGTTTTGTATGTTACCTCTTCACGCTTAAATCGCTAAACAGATTAAGATGATATTTAGTTTGGTATCATTTGAGTTCCGAGGAAGGAGATAGGATAGTTTTTATACCGGAAATCATCCTTGAAGGGGGTGGACTGGAAGTTTGTACGGGCAACCAATTGTTCCACACAGACGAAGTCGCAGGCACAGACCAGTTTACAAAATTATAATTTATTATTTAGTTCATCCTCCATAAATACAATTTATTCAGCTCACATGGCGGATTGGAAGCAAGAGAACCATATATGTTACGCTAAACGCTTGGAATGTTTTTGATGTAATAATATTATCTATTTGTAAACAAAAAGTATTTGTTACACACAAACAGTTGTTTGTGTTTGTTTAGGTAACTTACATTTTAATTAATTCCATTGAAATATCCGCACAACGAATTCGGCAAAATTTGGGAACAAATATGCCATCGCATTCTATTATACCCTTTCTGGTACGTAATCTGATGGTCTGATGTTTCATTCTGATAAACGGTGGCCATCAACGTTTAGGTCTATCCCTAAGGACCGATAAAAGTTCACCGTAATTTGTTTGAATATGTTTCTGACCTGTGAGGTCAATGAAAGGTTTTAAACACCAAATAAGCACACCCGACAAACCCTTTCACAACATCAAAGTTTGTAAGAGAATTCGGCTAGGGTTAACGGCCTGCTTAAAAGGGTTTAGTATGATGAACTTTGCTCATATTATCTTCGGGCAAACAATTACAAACATTTTACAAATTCTATCAACAGATAGGTATTCATCTCTACAGGCGCTGTAAGTTTTCAAACTCGTTGTTTATTTACAAAACTTTAAAACTGTTTTCATTAATTCTGTGAATTTACTGACGATGTTGAAACTGATGTTTTAGGACAGTCGGAGGTTCACGAATCAATAAGTTATCAATATTGAATACCTTTGCGAATTTACTTATAAAATATGTTTAGGGAATATTTATTATTATCAATTTTAAAAATCCGTCTTCTAAATCTTGCCTGTACTTCACCCAACTGTTGTATTATAATGTTAGTACTCCCTTTACTATGCCAAATGCAAACTCCAACTCCGCAAAACAAAAAAATAATGATTAGGATAAGAATGATACGTCATATGGGATTAACATGGAAGAAACCAACAAAATAAATGTTTTTTGCAGCCTCCCAGCCGCACACACCAATGGCTTCCGAAGTCTAAACACTTGCGTGAAATCCATCTAGAACTATACGTTTTTTACTTTCCGTCATCATATTTTTTTAGAACATTTAATTGCTACATGTTTTAATGTAAAGAAAAAAATTTACTAGAAATTATTCCACGCGGACCAGGCAGCAATCGAGACTCGAACCTGCACCCTCCGCTATCCGTTCGGATGCACTGACCATTATGCTACCTGATTAGCCCTAAAAATATTTCTTTATAT